ATATATATACACACACATATATATATATATATATATATATATATACGTATACATGTATACGTATATATATACATATATACGTATATGTATATATACATATATACGTATATGTATATATATACATATATACGTATACATGTATATGTATATATATACATGTATATGTATATATATACATGTATATGTATATATATATATACATATATATGTATACATATATACGTATATATGTATACATATATACGTGTATATGTATATATATATACATATATATACATATATATGTATACATATATATACAGTATATATATATAGTTACAAGAGCCAGGTTACAGAAAGAATGTCTTCTGCTCCTAAAGAGTTCTGGGGAGAAATATTTTGATCAAACATGTTAACGATGCTACAAACAGAAAAAGTATTCCAGATGTTCTTAATGAAACGTTATTTTCCAATATTCTCTTTTGATGCTTTGAATGTTTCGATTGAACCCTCTGGAAAAACTCTTGTCCATCCTTGTTCTAGAGCAGGGGTGTCAAACTCACAAAAGAGGGCCAAAATTAAACCCTTTTTCAAACCAAGGGCCAATTTCTTCATCTACATTACCTCGAGTCAGATACCCGACATCTTTTCTTGGTTGCAGGTTCCTCACCAGTTTGACTGGTCTCAGTCCATGTTTCCTGCTGCACATTCTGCTTCATCATCAAAGACCACTGACAAAATTCAAGTGATAAAAGTAGTTTACATTGAACATCATGTTAGGGGCCAGATAATATGTCAACAAGGGCCACATTTGGCCCCCGGGCCTTGAGTTTAACATGTGTTGTAGAGGAACAATAACTCATGTAAGAAAACAAACCTACTGGTTTCAAACCATTAAACTCATGAGATCTGATAGCAGGGATGTTCTGGGTTAGGTTCCAGACTGGACCCTTTCATACGGCGTGCACTCCGTGTACGTGCGTGGGTGGTGCTTCAGTTTTGTCCTGCTATCCCAGGATCAGTTTTGGAGCAGCTCTGGTGTTGTAGCTTTAGATCAAACCTTGAAGACAGCGTTCTGTGCAGATGTCTCTAAACATCTGGTTGTCCTCGAAGCTCGTGTCGTGAATGACTCTCAGCTACAACAGCACCAACTTCAGCTCTACACGTGCACATAAGATTGATGGCTGTGGTGGCCATTTTGAATCAGTTGTAGACGTTTATCTAATAATTCATGGAGTTTCATTAAAATCAGGTGCTTTGGGAGATGTTTAGTCTTTTTGACGCAGGTAAAAGTTGTGTGCTTATAATTTTCATGTTTATTAAACAGCTTCTCTCAAAAATGTCCTCCTGATAATAAAAGTGGAGCTGAACAGCAGAAAGACAACGTTTGTGTTTGCCGTCGTCAGAAGCATGTGACCAGCTGTTTGCCTCTGATTTGTGCTTCTTCAGATGACGAGGACGGGATGGACGCGGCGGACAACGAGCGAAGGCCTCATTTCCCGCAGTTCTCCTACTCAGCAAGCGGGCGGGAATGAGCTCCGCTGCCTGGATCGATCCATCGTGGCCATTTTGAGGAAAACGCGTAGCCATTCTAGAACAAACCACCGGCCCCCCCTCTCTGTGTCCTCGCGGATGGAGGGGAAGTCTTCGTAGGGACTTTAAAAGAGGTTTTTGCACAGTGGGCTGGACTCAAACTGGTCTCCCACATTAAAAAAAGAGTCTGGGACATTTTCAGCAGAAGGCTGTTTCTGTTATTTATTGTTTCCTGTGGGTATGAAGCTGTCGAGCCAGGTTGTGTTCATCCCTTCTCCTTTGTCACTGCTGCCATTTGTCTCCTTTTCCTTTGACTTGTTGCACTGGGTTTGGAAGAGAACCGTTCCAGGAACAGGAACCAGAAGTGTTGCCTTACGTGTGCAGATGTTTGGCGTCGCGCCCACACCCTGGGTTTTGTTGTTTCCTTTGGGAGAGGCAGACGTGTTTTGGGTCAGTTACAGCTGAGCGTACGTGCATGGCTCGTGGGTCACTTGTTAAAAAACCAGGAGAAGATTCTTCCTCGTGTGGGGGCACACGTCCCTCGACCCCATGACAATAAATCTGCTTCAAGTTAAAAATGAAATGAGAATGGATGTTCATCGCTGCAGTTCCACCTGCTCTTTATTGTGACACATTAACTTGAAGGTTGTTGACTCTGCCTCACCGTGCACAGCTCGCTCACGCACAGAGCACAACCTCCGACCGCCAGAGGCCGTTCTTCCTCACCGCTCCTCCTCCTCCTCACCGCTGTAGAACTGGGCTGTTAACACGCCGCAGGGCTCCACCTTGTGCTGTCGTAGCACACACACATTTCTGCTTCACGTTGGACTGGAACTAAATCAGGTGGTGTGTTTTCTGAAACCACACTTCCACAAGAAAACATCTTTTCTGAGTGTCGTCGTGTGAGTCGATGAAAACGCTGCTCAGATTTGGAGCCTTCTGATGGTTTCAAACCACTGGAAGCAACATCTGCACCAGTCCATCACAGGGCTCTTCAACAAAACTGCTCAGGGGCCACAGTTACTGAAAGACGAGCGCTCAGGGGCCGGACACCCATAATAATAAGTAAAGAGCTGTGTGTTGTCATACAATGATGACATCAGTCTCTGCGTTTGACCCAGCACACCTGGGGTAACCAGGTGGAGCAGTGGGCAGCTGTGAGCGCCCAGGGAGCAGTTAGAGATGGTCTGCTCAGACACCACATGTGGCCCTGACGTGACCCTGTCGTGGGCCTGATGTGACCCTGACGTGACCCTGTTGTGGGCCTGACGTGACCCTGTCGTGACACTGACGTGACACTGACGTG